TAAATGATCAAAGGAATGACATTGATATTCAAACAAGAATACAAAATATCAAAGATGATCCTCGAAAATATTTGAACGATGTTGTCGATCAACAACTTTTATATAAATTAGTTACACGAAATGGTCATACGAAAATCAAATTACCATGGATACCAATGTCAATGATTCCAGACATTCTATCCGCATACCACGATCATCCACTTAGTGGGCATTTTGGTGTCAATCGTACGTATAATAAAATAAAGGATAAGTTTTATTGGTTTCAGATGTTAAATTCGATCAAACAATATATTCGATCTTGTGCACAATGTGCTCAATTTAATGTACAACGACGAAAGAAGCCTGGATTATTACAAAAGGAGCCACCACCAGAGGGTGTGTTTGAATTAATGCAGATGGATTTTTGGAAAGCACCTATTCGATCTTCTGACGGCAACCAATATGTATTAATAATTACTGATCGATTATCTAAATATGTCTTTGCCCGGGCATTATCATCAGAAAATGCCAGAGACGCTGCCGAGATGCTATTTGAAGACATTATATTGAAACATGGTGCAATTCGATGTATACAGTCCGATCAAGGTTCTCATTTCAGAAATGAGCTGTTGTCAGTAATCACACAATTAACTGGTTGTAAACAAGTATTTTCAATTCCGTACCATCCTATGTCGAATGGTCAAGTGGAACGATTTAACTCAACCTTTTGTGATCAACTCAAAAAATATTATCATGATAACATCAATGATTGGGATATTTATTTGCAATCCATTGTATGGGCATATAATTCGTGTATTCACTCTGTAACTGGTTTTATTCCATATGAATTAGCATTTAATCGTCGATTAATATCACCGTTTGAATTTCCATCATCAAAAATTGTAATGTTAAAACCACACGATTATTGGGAAAAAGCAAACAAATTCAAGCAAGTGGCCATTCATGCAGCTCAATTCAATATCAAACAACAACAACAATTGAGTAAACGACGATACGACAAAGGACGAGCTAATCCAATATACACACTAGATGACATGGTATGGATAAAAATATTGTCTGGTCGTTCGAAATTAGATCCTCGATATCATGGTCCATTTCGTATTATAAAGAGAATTACTGACGTCAAGTATATCGTTGAACATACACAAGACCATTATCAAAAAGAAGAACATGTCAACAATTTTATTCCATTTTACGAACGAAGTTAAAATTGTTCAATACAACACATTATCAACTGAAGACAACAATCGTGAAATTCCATATTTTACAATATTCCAGACAATAATTGTGAAAAGAATTTTACTTATAACATTTCTATCACATTCAATTGTTTATGTATTGAACATTTCGTTCTAACAAGATTTTGCTCATTGTTTACTTAAACATTGTCCGAAAAACGATTATATGAATTTTATAATATACCTTACGTTATCAACGACATCTAGACTGTTTGATCATCACTGACAGAAGAATGATAATACAAAATTTTATTGATCTATATATACAAGTGGCAGTTTATTGATCTATATGTATTAAAATTTACAATCGGCACTCAATGTAAACCAAATATTTTCATTTGGTCAATAGACAAAACAATGCATATCTAACGACATGTCGAATTTTCCGAATAAGTTTTTCTCAACACTTCTATTTATATATCTACTGGTTTTCATAGATGTATAACCTACATGACTTCGTTTTATTTTAACCTTTTGTCACTTTACTTGTTAACCGTTTAATCTATTTCGATTTATGTTCGATGTTTTTTTTTCTTCATATTTTTCTTCGTTATTACAATAGTTTTGTTACTGTCATGTTAACTGTCGATGAACAGATAGAGCGCTCATCTATCGTGGGAAAGGAGGTGTTAGGATAGAAGATTAATCATCTGTTCTTCTTTCCCTCGTTCTTT